ACAGAGACCTGTAAAGATACAATTACAATGATCAAGTCTAATAATCAAGTTTCTCTAAGTCATGTTGAGACATGACTCCTTCAGGTCAGGATATTTTTAAGGTGGTAGTAGGCTGATTTTGTAATTCTGCTTATGTGGGTTTTGAAATGTAGATTTCTGACAAGGTTTGAAGTCTTAAAGATTAGGGTATCAAGATGAGCACTGGCATTCAATAATTATATTTTTGGCACCGAAAATAATTGTTTCAGTTTTATCCTTATTTAATTGGAGAAAATTATAGCATATCCAATTATTGATTTGTTCGATGCGCTGTATCAGTCTATAACCATCTGGATTTTATAGCTTTGTAAATCTGTGCTAATACAGAGACTTTACCATTCTCTGTACTTAAATAGATGTCCTTTAAGTCTTTATGAGAGCAGTCTTGCTGTGTTGTGGTCGAACTCCAAATTGAAGAACATCAAAACAATTGTTTCGTGCCAAGAAGGTGCTGAGTTGATGAAAACCAGCTTTTTCAATGAAATGGGGGGTTTGATATGGACCTAACATACTGCATCATTGAGGTGTTTAAATTGTTCTTTTTTAATAGAGGTTTGATCACTGCTGTTTTCAGTGTTTGGGGAAAGAGAAGAGAGGTATTGACTAATGCCAGGACATCTGATGCCATGCAATCAAGAACATTCTTTAGAAAGCTTGTGGAAAGAATATTAAAAGCAGCAGATTGAAGAACTCAGACGTGACACAATCCCCTCCAGGGTTGGGATGAAACATTTAAAAAGGCTAGGTACAACATAATATCTGGGGCTTATTGTGGTCTTCTGTTGTCTTTTAAACGGTTTCTCATGAACACTGGTGCCAGGACCCCATGGATGTCAGTATTAGTGGGACTGGTCCTCCCCTGTCTGCCTTGTTTTAAGCTCAAATGCCTTCTATATGTACATTAACTTTTGCTAAGAACAAATAAATATAAAAGAAACTGAGATCGATCCGGGACTTGTAGATAAGACGGCTCTTGTTTTACAAACCCCATTTCTAGAAATGTTGTGATGAATTTCTGCCAGGTAACTATAACTATGACCATTTTTCTTCCTAAAAATATCCCTTTAATATGGGGTTAAAAAAAAAGTTAATCACATCAACAAAGCAGTCTAAGGAAAAGTGCAAGTTCTAATGTAAATGTAATAATTTAATTAGCCCAAAGCACTGACTGTATCATGGCCTTTGAAAATCCACTTTACTGCATAGCTGTTACTATTGCTGGTTGATAAAGTCTTGTGGTCAGTGAGTTTGTTGGCATTCATTTTCTTGTTAAGCCATTAGCTCTGCAGACAGCTTACAGTCTTAAAGATTTTGTTTTTCAGTCTTGCCCTATCTCTGCATGACATGCTGACTCGTCTGTTGTGTCAGCTGACCATGTATTTTTGTCTGTAACTTGTCTATAATGATGATGCCTTGCTTGAAGAGAATGCTACCAGCCATGAACATAAATAGATGTAGATACAAACACACACATGAACAACCCTTTGTCTCTCACCGACACAGTTTTGCTGGAAGTTCTCTGAATGTAATCATTAACTGACAGCTGATAAAAACTGAAGAGTGCACTCGCTTTGGTGGGTGTGTCAGAGGTGTTACACAAACAGCAGTAACATAGATTTAAATCCCACCATATTAAAAAAAGGCAGTGTATTGCATTTGCATAACACAATAGGGTGTTCAACGTACCACTGTTTCCATTTAAATAAATGTTTTGCTATATTATGTCCAATAACCGGTTGCAGAATATGGTACTAAAGCCCAGAGTGCAAAGCTTGCCAGTCAGTTTCATGGGGGAGATTGAGTTGAAATCCATAAACAGTGTTCTGATGTAGGTGTTTTTCTCAAGGTGTGTGAGTGCTGAGTGCAGAGCAGTGGAGATTACATCATCTGTGAATCTGTTAGTTCTGAATGCAAACTGTTGAGGGTCAAGGCTGGCTGGGATGTTGTTCTTTGTAAGCTCAAAGCACTTCATTGTAGACTTTTTAGGTACAGGGATGTTGATGTATGTCCTGAAGCAGGTGGGAACACTCTCTTGTGAGAGTGATATTTTAAAAAAAATGTCAGTAATAACAAACTAGCTGACTGGCACTTGGACTTTGCAGTTATGAGGTGCCATGTGATGTAATAACGTTAGGCTACCAAGGTTGCCGTGTGGTGCAGTAGCAGTGGCATGCCATTAGCCATGAGCAACCAAAAAGACGTGATACAGGCATACGGTATTTTATATTACACAAACAGAAACAGATAAAACTAGAATACACAAATCTGAACCATTTACTTTTGTAAAAATACACAAATAAACTTATACTCTCTCAATGCAAAAGTAAGCAAACAAGCAGCAAAATTTTAATTAACCTTGGTTGTGGCACATACATTTGGCCATCTTGCAGTGTCATGCAGATTTTGAGATACAAACTACACAGCATAAGGTCTAGAAAGTTTGCATCCTTATCACAAGTCAGGAATGTTTTGACTGACCTTCTCTTATGTCTTCACACTTACACCGATCAGCCGTAACATTATTATTAATGAATGACCTGCCTAATATGGTATGGTAAGTCCGCCTTTTGCCACCAAAACAGCCCTGACTATCAAGGCATGAGGCACTAGACCTCTAAAGGTGTGCTGTGGTATCTGGCACCATAGTTAACAATTTAAGGACCATTTCCATACCTTACCTTTAGGGAACAGACATGATCCCTATTTCTCTGTGTTAAATCCTGTAAGTTGTGAGGGAGGCCTTCATGGATCGGACTTGTTTGTCCAGCACATCCTGCAGATGCTCAGTTGGATTAAGATCTGGGGAATTTGGAGGCCAAGTCAACTCCTTGACCTAATAATTTTTAATTATAATCCTGTAAATATCATGGTTGATTACGCTATTAACTGCAAACACTTGTTTGGCCACAATTTTGATTAATATGTTACAAGAAACATTAAAGACATACTTTTTCTATTACCACAGACATAAAGTTATGTGTATTTGCACATTATGACTGTTTAATCCAGATAAACAGCTGTAGACGTATAAAAACTGAGCAATACAGCTTTAACATGCTGCAAGTGCTCCCGTGGATGGCATCCAGCATCTGTTCACTGCTTTTCCTACCACTTCTAACTACAGGGGTTGGACAATGAAACTGAGACGCCTCTCATTTTAGTGTGGGAGGTTTCATGGCTAAATTGGACCAGCCTGGTGGCCAATCTTCATTAATTGCACATTGAACCAATAAGAGCAGACTGTGAAGGTCCAATTAGCAGGGTAAGAGCACAGTTTTGCTCAAAATATTGCAATGCACACAACATTATGGGTGACATATCAGAGTTCAAAAGAGGACAAATTGTTGGTGCACGTCTTGCTGGCGCATCTGTGACCAAGGCAGCAAGTCTTTGTGATGTATCAAGAGCCACGGTATCCAGGGTAATGTCAGCATACCACCAAGAAGGACGAACCACATCCAACAGGATTAACTGTGGACGCAAGAGGAAGCTGTCTGAAAGGGATGTTCGGGTGCTAACCCGGATTGTATCCAAAAAACATAAAACCACGGCTGCCCAAATCACGGCAGAATTAAATGTGCACCTCAACTCTCCTGTTTCCACCAAAACTGTCCGTCGGGAGCTCCACAGGGTCAATATACACGGCCGGGCTGCTATAGCCAAACCTTTGGTCACTCGTGACAATGCACCAATACACACAGCAAGACTGGTTTGATGAACATGAAAGTGAAGTTGAACATCTCCCATGGCCTGCACAGTCACCAGATCTAAATATTATTGAGCCACTTTGGGGTGTTTTGGAGGAGCGAGTCAGGAAACATTTTCCTCCACCAGCATCACGTCGTGACCTGGCCACTATCCTGCAAGAAGAATGGCTTAAAATCCCTCTGACCACTGTGCAGGACTTGTATATGTCATTCCCAAGACGAATTGACGCTGTATTGGCCGCAAAAGGAGGCCCTACACCATACTAATAAATTATTGTGGTCTAAAACCAGGTGTTTCAGTTTCATTGTCCAATCCCTGTACTGCAGACCAGGAACAGCCCACAAGAGCTGCAGTTTTCTAGCAATAATAATTTGGCCCTCATCAAAGTTGCTCAGATCCTTATGCTTGCCCATTTTTGCTGCTTCTGACACATCAACTTTGAGGACAAAATGTTCACTTGCTGTATAAATCCCACCCACTAACAGGTGCCATGCTAATGATATAATCAGTGTTATTCACTTCAGCTGTCAGTGGTCATAATGTTGATGCTGATCGGTGTATGATACACCAGTCTAAATGGTTATATTGACACATTCTGCTTTATCACTGCTATGTAACACACACCTCTGTGCAGTACAGTAATACAGTACTGATCATCAGAATGTTTATGTTCTTAAGCACGATTTCAAGTAATAAGTTAGGGGTGTTACACCTGACATGCAGAATCAAATTCTACATTTCACTTACACCATTTCACTCACTATGGCCCTATTGGATCTTTGTGTAAGTGCATTGAACAAATGACTAAATGAAGCATCATTTTCTCCAACTGTAGAGTGAATATGGCTGGTCTAATGCATCCCAGGATTGTTTTAAAAACTCAAAAGTGGACACGCCATAGGGGACTACTTCTACTTCTATACGAGCAGCCGTAAATTAAACATACCTCCCTTCAAAGACTAATAAACAGGTGTCACAGGGTACACGCGTAGCAATATCTTGTCTCCTAAACAGCTAGAATAACTATAAAGTACTCTTGACAGCATGCAAAGCCGCACGAGCATCCAAATGTGTTATGTTGAAAATGTAAAATGTTATTTCAACCAGCTAGAAAAATCAAATCTCTGATTTATAAGTTTTTAACACTCCGACACTATACATACAGTCCCCTCTTGAGTAAAGCTGCTTCATTGTTAAAAGTTATATTTCTTGGGTTACAGCTGAAAAGATACGGTGGTGGTAAAGAAAGAGGATTTTTCTGTGGTAGGAATTTATTACATTTTGAAAGCATTACACTTAAAAAGGGCCATACAGCAAGTGTAAGCCCACCTCATCTTTTATTTCACTCAAGCACAAACTACTCATACCATCTGATTTTAAGGGAGCAGACTACAAATGTGAGGAAACAGAAAACATTCATGTGTATTCAATATATCATTCTGTGTTTAATTGTGAGTGAATTACATTTTTCTTCCTGGTAAACATCTCTGCTATAGCATGTGTAACAGAATCTACAGTATCCATTTCAGATTTAGCAGTGAATTATCCCTTTAAATCAAGGACATTAATAGTGATACCAAATGTTATTCATATAAATCTTTTATAGTGCAACTATAGGTGGCTATCTTTGAACTAAGACTTGGCATTAATTTATGTAATATTACAAAAACATTGTCAGTTCAATCTAGTCCAAGCAACGACATATACAGGAGTGGCATTTAAAACATTAGTTCCATCAGAGTGACACAGTGGGATTGTTTCATGTCCTTCACAAATCTATAAAGCTATTTTAACACAAAAGACACACACACAAAAGAAAAGTTAACTGAAAGATTTTCAAGGCACTTAGAAGTATGCATGTAGGGCATTAATAGAAGAACATGAACAAAATTCCATATACACGAGTCACATAATTAACAAATTAGTTCCAGTAGGGAATCAAGACAGACCAGTGATAGAAAAGGCACGTTTCTGTCTCAAACAAATGTAGTAAAAACAAAAATCCTAGCAAACAGTATGTGTTGCCATTCATCCATAAAGTGCATCACATGTCCTTTTCAACCTGTTGTTCTTGTACACTTCATTAACTCATTATCGAAGAGCAAAAAGAACAGCTGGTCAGCATGCACACCGCCACATGTGAAATCTCTGCTTCTGCCAAGTGTTATTTGGGTCTAAAAATATGGCTTTTGAGGATGATGTGTAGGCCTGGTAACATTCTCGATGCTTATACAGAGCCAACTAGGCTGAATAGTGTTTATCAGTCGCTTATGTCCTGAAATACCAGTAGAATGGTTCTGCATCTTATTTTTAATAGTCTTGATTTAATAAACCCAAGGCTGTGTTGTTAAAATAAATGTGACAGGCCCCTGCTCTAAAATGTCCCCTCCTACTGTTTTCAGAACTGTGTCTGATCAGTGTCTAAAGTCAAAACATCTGGATTTCTTTCAGATAAAGTTGCACCACTGTGATGTTATGGGGGGCGTGTTTCGGCAGTCCTTGAATGGAGCTGAGGTTCAACTTAAAATAAATAAATTATCAACTGTTTGAGTTTCTTAAAGGGTTATTAGTTCACCCAAATTACAGAAAAAACACCACCACCACAAAAAAAATTGTTCTCACCTACTCTTATTGCAGACAGTTGTGGTTTTATGTGCAGAGATTTAAGATATCTGGCTAATAAATATCTGCGTCCACCCTAATACAAAGGAGGTTAAACAGTTACTCGGGATGTTAACCAAGATTGTGGTCAAGATTGTCCACAGCTGTCCAAAAAAAACAGTTGAATGTGTCGAGAGTGAAAATTTTTCTCAATACGCCACAAATTTACAAACTTCCAATCAGCTCAATTCTATCATGATAGAGGCAGAAATCTTAGAAGTGGATTTCATAAAAGCTCCAGCAGGTAAAACCAAACTATCTGCATGGCAACACACCAGCAGGTGTAAGTAGAAAAATATGTCTCTAAAATGGTGAACTGTACCTTTAACTATATTCATGTCACAATATAATCTAATGTAACAATATAAGCCCACGTCAAGTCTACACTCGATTAACAGTCAAGGGGCCTGAAGAGGTCTGGTGGAAATATTTATGGACTTCACTTAAACTGGTATAAGGAACGCCTAGAAGCAAAGTGATGCATGTGTGTGTATCCAGAAACAGTGGAATGTGACAGGGAAATGACATGATTAGTTTACACATAGGCGATTAAAGTCCTCAAAAAGCAAAAATAGGCCACATTCCCTTGGTTTTCTCTGGATACAGCATGTTACGGTTTCTTACATTATTACATGATTATACTGTCACTTGCAGGACTGTGTTTGCCACAAATGACATATGGCACTAAAAACACAAGGGAATGTAGGCTTTTAGATTGCTAAGTGAGCATGACTGAAAGTGAAAGTTTCCCAAGTAAGGTCCGTCTACAACCTCAATGAGAGTCAATGGCAGTGGCATGGAAGTACCCGCAAACACAATGTTATAAATCCTCGACACCCACCTGGTTACTAACGCTTATCCTGAGACATTTCATTTGTCCAGACTTTTTTCTTATGTCTATAGCCACATGGGAGCGTTGTTTCTCTGGTTTGAGAATAGGGCTTCTTGTCACAAGTAAGGAACCATAAGGCATTGGTTCAAGTTTTCTGTAGATTGTCACAATTGTGAATGTCATCAAACCACCCAATGGTGCGAGTCTTCAAGTTGTCATCATTTTTTTGGTCAAGAAGCCAAACTTTGGCTTTGTGACCGCAGGATCAAATTTGATCCAAAAAGGCGGCCAGGGTAGGAAGTTCAAAAGTCAACAAGGAGGGCTGAGAAATCCCCACAGTTTAGGAAGATCAACTTAGTCTGAGGATTTCAGAAGTATAACCATGCAATTCCAGATATAGTTATTGTTCTTATAGTAAGTTGCACAAGGTCTTCTGTAGGTGTCAGATAAAATATCCCATGACCCATTGTACAGGGGGAAATTTAAGTGAAACAGTCTGTTCCCTTTAAACCCTTTACAAACATCTCAAGATAAAGGCTATGTCAGATCCAACTAAAAGACTGGAAGGTGAAACAACGGCTACAATCTGGAAGGTGGAAAGGGGAGTTGTGATGGGAGGAGGGAGTGGTACAGTCAAAGCGAGGACAGAAAAAACAAACATAGGGTATTGAATATCACTCAAACACAAGGAAGGCAGAGTGGTCCAGTGGGGGAGGGGGAGGAGGGAGGAGAAGGAGAACAGGAGGACCAGTGTTCGTTGTTAGTGTTCCAGCTTCTGGTGGTAAAGCTGAGTGACCTGGATGACCGGAGGAGAGCTGCTGAGCGACGGCCCACACCAACAGGCAGAGGATCGCACCGGTTGGACCTCACACCTGCCGCTGGAGAGAGGGAGGTCACAGCAGAGGAAATACATTCAGTGTTTGACTCATTCACCTCCACTTAAATCACTGTACCCCAGGTGACATAAAGCCAGAAAAACTGAGAGGATCCAATAGGAAATGTACAGTAGAGAGAGTAGGAGAGATGCTAATGTAGCCCAACGTGTGAGCTTCCTTGTGGGAGGAGACAGATACTGCACAACATGTTATTAACACCAGCAAGTTACAGTTAAAGTACAGGCCCACTGAAAAGACAGCAGAAAGATAGGTTTTTACCTCGGAATCCCTCCCATCTCGCACTTTATGGCAGATAATGGAGAAAAGTATCAGGACCTTTTACTACTGGTCTACATCCTCAAATATAACCTGCAGACATCATATGTTGTATACAGTACCAGGAATCCACACTCTAATTTATGACTAGACCCAAATCTAGGTCTTCATTACTATAAGCTCCAAGACAAAACATTCTGATATGTTGTTATAAAACATCAGAGATATCAAATGTCCATTTGTTGAATAAATTACTACCAGGAATCCTTTAAGATTTAGTGCTATTATTAGTTTACAGACTTTCAAACACATATGTATTGCTTTGCCTGGCTGATTTAACAATGGGATTTTCCTTGTGTGTCAACACAATTTGTTAACAGATGGGGAGAGGATGAAGGAAGACCTGAAACGCAACAACCTACATTGCCCGCAGAGTGAGCATACATCACCACGTGAAAGAGAGGCACGAACAGCATGTGTTAGTAACATTTGATGCAGGGGAGCAGTGCGGCACAGCCAAGAGATTTACAGAGCACAGAACACTGCAGTTCAATGAATCCAGACCACGGTTGGGACAAATCATTTTCAGGTCAATTTAAAAAGTGGAAATACTCTTCAGTACTTCCCTTTACTTTCTATAATTTGGCCAGGTGTTGTGACAACCCCGTTCTTTAAATGCGAAGGGTGTATGAGAAGATATTAGCAATTTTCCTAACTTAGGAGCAGTGAAACTGAATGGAGCCCAACCTTGATAAACATCATTGACTGCAAGCACTAAAAAGATGGGTTTGTTTGTTATTTTTGTTTGTTTTTCCGGGTAAATCTTCATACTATACTCACATGTCATATGTAGGGCAAGAATGGAGAGACAATAACAGCATCAATTTACTGTACTTATAGCATGTGAGTATAGTATTAAGACTTCAAAATCATTCAAACCAATTCTTTAACACCCTGATACCACAAAACAGGACACCTCCGTTGTAATACAGCAGGTAACAGTGGGATGCATGTTACTGAGTACTGTTAAGAGTAAGAAGAGACAGGATGCTATAGGGTAAGCCTGCTGAGCTGGTATTTGAAGTACCTCACATGTTATGGGGCCCTTTTTGTCAGATTGGGGCAGCACTGCTGTGAAATATAAGGGCAAAAAAACACAAGAAGGGAAAGGAAACATTTTAAAACTATGATGAAAATAATAATAATAATGGTAATAATCTTTTCACTTTAAAACCATCACTGATATCTTTACATAAGTACATGCAAATCGATAACATTTCAAAAAGGACAAATCACAGACTGACGAGTTTATCCAGACATGTGCTCAAGGTCAAAAGTCTTTGCTTCCAGTTTGGGCCTGAAATTCATTAAAAGGAAACTATCAATCAAGTTCACTGCAGTAGAATTTACCTCAACTGAAGAGGGATCCAGGCCCTTGCTTTACATTTGTATATGTGATCATATTTTAGTAAGAAACCTCCAGGTTTTCCAACTGTTGACGCAACTCAACACTCCATCTGTTTCACATTAAGAGCTTCCAGCGGGTAATGTGGCATAATTCATTTACTTCAGCGTAAGGCTTAAAGGCAGAATGAATAGGATTTGTTGATTGTGGTTTGTAAACACAACCTTCAAAGTTGGCCCCTCCTCCCCGGGTCAACGACTCCAGAAGCACACGCCTAATGCTGTATAGGACTCTGTAGCTGTATCAGTTCTTCAGTGTTAGAGAAAAAAACACACTGCCCAACAACATGTTAGCTATCCGCTGCTATAGATCTACTCATTACAGACACTGGATCTCCAACGATCAACTTACTCTGTTGGTTTAGGAATTATGGCAACTACCGGCGTGGCGTGTGTGTTAGACACAAAATTATTCTAAGATCAAACTCAGCACTACAGACCTCAAGGGTTATTTCCATAAAACATAGTTATTTGCATTAAGAGCAGTGTTAGGAGTAACACGTTACAAAAGTAACGCAATTACAGTAATGTATTGCTTTTTGCTGTAATGTAGTAATATAACGCATTATTAAAAAAAATCAGTAATATTATACTGAAGTGGTGTTCTGTTTTTTTAATAATTCACAAACACCGAGAAACATTTCAGCACCTGGGAAAAAAATCCATGAGTAAAAGATTAACATTATTTCCTTTTGCGGGAATCAGATGGTCCACATTGTAGGCAGGGTGCAAACTACAGGGGAGCTCGACTCCTCTTAACAAGACGGTAGCTCCCCTGATGGATCATGCGTAAATAGATTTCTATAGGCTGTGTGTTTGTGCTTTAATGAATTACTTTCTTAAATAGAGAGGCTGCTGTCACTTCATTCTGTCGGAGTGTCTGGAAATTCAAATAATCAATGACATTATGCTGCTGTACCTCGTGTGTAAATGCGCACAGCGTCTTTCTTAATGGGGAGATGATTCATCCTATTGAGACGGATGACTAAACAATAAAAAAGGGTTGAAATGTCTCTATTTGGACAGCCTGTTACCCTGACAGGAAGAAGCAAAGGTATCGGTGCATAATTTATGTGCAGCATTCCATGTTCACCCCTTAACCTAGTCCTCGACCCTTGAGCCACATTCGAAAAGCACTGGGAAATTAACTTTGGGTTCTGTTTTAGTGGCCCCCAGAAAAACAAATCTGGGGGAAAAAATGTGTTGTTGTCATTTACTTAGTGTAAAACAGCTAACTGTAGTCGAGGGGGAAGGGTGTAGTGAGATTTACAATGTGTTTGGCATTTGTGGTGGTTGTTGGTGCATGTGCTCCTACATCTTATTCACTACTTAATATGTGTGGCGTTTGTGTGTGTTTTTTTTACCCAGTCTCGACAGGCATGTCCTGATCAGCCTCTGCAGCAGACGACTCCACATCTGCATCTGCACTGCTTTCACTACCCTGAGCTGACAGACCACACGGAGACTCTGGGCTTACAGACTCACCACTGGCACAGACAGACACACACAAACAGATGGTTCTTACTGATTACATTTAATGCTATTTAAGCAATGAGAACTTTAGTGTTGTTATTTTCTCAATTGCAGTCTTCTGGTGGGAACCAGCTGTGGCTTACATGTATGTAATTTGTATGTTACATGCGAGTCTAACCCTTATTCTCATACCTTGTATTATGTGTGTGTGTTAATGCATGTCTACTGACTTGATATGTTTCTCCAGCAACAGGATGGCCTGCTCCCTCTCCTCTAGTCTCCTCTTCAGGGAGTCGATCTCCTTCTGCTTCTCTAGCAGCTCCTTCTGGAGACGATAGTTGCTCTCCTCCAGAGTCTCACAGAACGCCTGGAGGCAGGCGACAGCAGAGAAAAGAAAAACAAAGACCATTTGTTTCCAGCGGAAACGAAGGGTTGAGGGAAAATATAACGGGCCACACAGGAGAAGACAGGGATAACATTTCTGAGCAAGAACGAACATAATCAACAAGCAAACCTACAGGCAGGCTGTACATTCATCCCAAGGCATATTTAAATCTATAATTGTTTACAGGTTTTAAATGTCTGCCTGAAAAAAATGTCCACATTAAGTAGGCTTATTTTATGACTGCAGCTATAGGGAGCAAACTTGTGACATGTTTGTTTTTTTAATTGCCTGTAATGAGAGTGAGTTCCTGCCCTTGTCACCACATGCCATCAAACTACTTCATATCCCTGTAAAATGTGGGACGGTATCATTTATAAATGTTTAAATACAGAGTCCATATGATACCTGAGGTTTGGTAGTGACTTGAAAATTATACTTTATTTTGCTGAGTATAAGCACTAAGCACTCAGAAAAACACAACAAAAAAACCTACAGGTCCAGTAATGCAGCAGCTTTTATTTTTCACACAATTTCACCTTTCTATTTTCCAGGTTAAATGTATTTTCCTTTTAAATGTCTGTAATATCTGCTAAATCAGCTAAATGCATGTATCTTTATTCTGTGTATATTTATCTGTATGTTTCTGTGTTGCAGTGGCTGTGAAAACTAAAAGCAGCAACAGACTTACTAGATATCCTTAAGCTGATGGTACACAGAGCAACTTTTAGAGCAATCATGCAGGGCAACGTTGCCGTCAATGGTAATGAGTAAAGATTACCGCTGTAATCCCCTTCCCCACCACTTCGCCACCCGCACCGTCCCTATCCATTCAAAACATAGTTTGACTTGCCACTAGCAAGATTGCCCAGCAACATTGCTCAAAAAGTTGCCCCGTGTATCATCAGCTTTAGTGTCTATGGACATTTGTGTAAACTTCAGATACTTGAAAATGTTTTTATACTCCCAGCTATGCAAAACATAATTGGTTTGTCAAAACTACTATATGACTGTTCATTACCAAACCCTATTAAAATGACAAGCATGCTCTTTAAAAGGCCTTGAAGTGATATAGATAGCGGCACAAACACACAGTACATATTTCTGCATGGACATGCACACTTACTCTGCTCTCCTCCAGACTATCAAAAGGCCCAGGTGGGTCATCCAGACACAGAAACTCTCTCACTGCCTGGCTGTCAAGGAGAGCAAACAGTGTAACGTGAATATGCGTGTGCATTCTTGTTGTTATTGCACAGACCAGTGTGCTCAGTAACAAAAACAAAATCATACTTCACACACACACACACACACACACACACACACACACATACATAGCACTGACTTATCCAGCACAAAATAAAGAGTTAGAAACCAAGATAACAACTTTTGTCTGTTCTGATCAGTGTCGGCCAATGCCTGCACTCACTGTGGCTGCAATCAGTGTGACAGCTGTGGAGCGATGTTAGAGCTCCCCCTTTTGGGTTTTGAGAAGTTGGTGAAAAAGTTAGTTTCAAGCCCTAAATGTCTTCAGTCACCATCGTCTATTCTAAATGTTACCTTGTTTCTCCCTTCCTAAATGACAGCAGACCTAATCTAAAACCATTACTGGCTAGCATTAAATATATATTGTTATCCAGTAGAAAATAATGCAGTGGAGTGACAAACTACCCCGCTGTCCCTTAAACACCAGTCACGTTGTGAAATCTACATCAGAACACAATGTATTTTTCTATTTCATTAATAATAATTGAATTAAACATGACTTTTCTTTGTTTTCATATCAGCACTATATCTGCTATCGGCCATTGAAAAACCCGTATCGTTGACCATTAGCTCTGAGGTCACTGCTTTATGCAAAATTTTTGGTGATAGTTGTGACATCTAACTTTGAATGCTTCATAATTTACAGCAGGAATTATCAATGATCAGGTGACTACTTTACAAAGCACACAGTTCACACAAAAGGCTAAATAACTCCTTTTAAAAATTAAAAACTGTCACGTACCAGTTGGAAATGTCCTTGTGTGCAACCAGGTTTTGCAAAAAGGCCTGTAATCCCAACTGTCTGTCTTCCAGGAAGTCGCTGTCATAGTTGTCTTTGAACCACCGCTTGGGAGGTAGTGAGAGGCGGAAGCCTGGGAACATCTCCTTCAGCTAGAACACGCAAATACAGACAGAGCCAGGGATGAGTATCACATGATCTATCCGTACGTTTACAGCAGTTACAATAACGAGGTTATTGTCATGCATGGACATAACGCAGAGACAAAAGTGGCAAACTTAGTGATATAAGAAAGATAGTACATGCTGCTGCTCCCTGAAACACTCACACTCTACTTCTGCATTACATGCTCTTATCAAATAAATAATGAATATATTATATAATTTTATTACAGCATTAAAAATATGATCATATATTTCAAATTACAGACTAGCACAGATTTGTAAAAAAAAGTTCTATTGTGTGAAAATGCGCTTCAGAATTATGTTAACAGGAAACATGGGGGAAGACAGTCTCCTTTTATCACTTATCACAAGCTGAATTTCTTCTGTCTGCATATGTTCATAGTGTTGTGACAAACCACACTGTGCCGGTGCCATAATGCTGTCAAGTAAAGCTGGAGTCATGCACCTTTGCTACCAATACCGATATCAATATTTGAATGTTTAAGAAACATTTGTCCGACAATAATAAATTGGCCTTTTATACATTTTCTACATAAATAAATATTTTGATAGGGATCCCTTTAAATGAGCTATTTATCAGTTGTAACCACAAAGCAGCACATTTGCATTTGAAAAATAAACTATTTCTATTAACTCAAACATGTCTTTATTATTTCTGTACTTAATTTTTTTAAATTACAAGTGGACATATACACAAATGCCTATATATCTGTAAAAAAAAAACCCTGACAAAACTAAAGCTATTAGCAGCCAATAATATCAGCTTGCAGATATTACCATACTGACTTGCTGCTGTGGCTACGGTCGCTCCCCCCTTCACCTCTGGCAACGTATCAATACTGGTGTGCCAGGGTGAGAATGTCGCCACAGACACTAGATTTAAAAAATGAATACAGAGAGATTTTTCTGGCAGCGATCAGCACAGTTTGAACGCGTTTATCAACGGCTTGAATGTAACGGCCATTCATTTATATGTAAAAGTAACACACGCCTTAAACCATTTAACCCTGAACTCCATGCTGCTGTGTACACAGAACTCAACAGCAAATAATGTACATAATACAATGTTTCAGTGTCTAACACAGCAGGGGGGGATTGCATCATTACACCAAAATGTGAATAAAAGAGTTGTGTAGTTGTGTTCTCCTCTGGAGAACACTGAGATATTTTTTATAGACATTAGGATCCATTTTTCTGAAATGAAAACTTGTCACTATACCATCATAAATTAACTCAATCCAAAACCAGTTGCTGCTCTTTATCAAGAACTAGGACTGTCCACTTCCTCTGTACTGTCGGTAGTCACTTTTAAATCATTGTTGCGTGCATTTCAAGAGGAATTACAAAACATTGCCAAATGCTTTTACTGCACAAACTTACTTAACTGTTGTTTGCCTTGCCTCCCTTGAGTCTACTGTTCATTGTCCTGTGCTGACTGCCTTTACTGGAGCCTGCTGAGTTAATCATGCCTATCGCCAGCCTTCACTCCGGGTGTAAACATTAAAGAACTGCTTGGCAATTTACTAAATCTTCAAAAAAGAATTTTTGACTACATGTTGTCATCTTCGGGAAATACTGTAGTGATAACAGGCCCTGATGTCAGTTTGCTCAGCAGGAGGTGGAATGGTGTGTGCACGTATGCACACCTCCTTGTTTTGACAGTCGGTAGCTTGAGCTACAGCTATGTGCATAAACTTGGAATAGGGCAATGCTCCACACTACTACACAAAAAATGTTTGGTGCCAGCCACACAGTGTGGGGAAGTGCTGCGTATTTAAAACCGGATCATGTATTGACCATGCTAGGTTTCTCTGCTGCCGTTTTAGTTAATGACAGGCGCTTGCTCAGCCTTTGGCTTGTGTGTGAGGTTCACACGCAGCAGGCAAGCCCTCTTAAACAACTGTAACTTCACTGCTTTTTGCAATACTTCTTGATGTTACATATATGAATATCATCAAATGTTTGTACTTTTGTGCCAAACTGATTACAAATGCACTTGGTGTTGAAACATTTCCCGACTGTTAAATATATGACCAATGAGGTCTTTACAATTACAGTACGTGCATGGCAAAAGACCATCCAGTACAGTGTGAAGATTACTGCTGCCTCTGTGGAAAAAACCACAGGAATGGAGAAAAGGATGTCCACACCCCTTCTCTGTCCTCTCTCTCCTTGTTGAATGTAGGGTGTTCCCATAACCTGTGTCTCTATTCTTCTTGCCTGGGGTTACTGTGTCTGATTTAGTCAATTGTGCATTGCAGTAAAAGGTTTTATCAGTATTTTGTCGGCCTCCAGATATCATTTGTTGCAGCTTTCTAACCATCATCATTTGTTGCTCTAGGTTGTTTGTCCTCATACAGTGTCACACGGCTTAATATTTTTCCCTTCTGTACTCTGTGATTAGACTGTCCTTCCTGAAACCCCGGGAGACCTGTTCCCCTAGTTGGCTTGGGCCTGTTGGATATTCAGGAACAGAAGGCTTCTTTGTGTAGATCTAATCGCTTCCACAGTTCACTCAAAAACAAAAAGCAACCATGCTGAAAGCAATGCATTGATTAACAAGGGCAGATGATCACAAAATAAAGCTTCAATTAGTCCTAAATTTGGGACTGCGAATACCTTCCTCACAAACATGCCCACACACACCTTGTCGTTGAGTCTGGAGAAGTCTGTGTACCTTCTAAAAACAACCCAGCTCTCATCTGGAGTCTTCCTCACCAGGACCTTGAATACCTGCAGCAGAGATAAGACAACACACACACTGTAAAGCCCTGTTTACTGCAGAAGTACAGGACTTGTGAGAGATTGTCCTCTACCAACTTAACATGTGTGATGACTAAACATGATGCTTACAACCTAGAATCACATCACAAGACAGTTGTGCCACAGATACGATAAGTTCCAAAAGGCCGACGGGATGATATATAATCCAATTTTCTGGTTTCATACCGTGAACTTGGCCCTCTCTTCCATGACCTCATACCCTAGCAAAGTGGGGGTAATAGGCCTCTCCTCATCTTGCTGGCTGCCAGCAGGACCCGATATGGAGCGAGGACAGCTGGAGTACTCTATGGAGGGCTCTAGAGTCCCGTTCACCCTGGCCCGTGTCACAGTGCTCTGGTGGAGTGGTGGTGTCCTGCTCCGGTTGCCTCTGTCCATGCAGCGGGATTGTCGTTGGGAGCCTAATGCCTGGTCTTCCCCGGCCGCCCTAGCGATACAGGAAGAGGATGAGCTGCTGGAGACGCTGCCCAGTGATGAAGCTCGCTGTGGCCGGCTGAGGTTGCTGCTACCCCCTGACCAGGCTCTGTCCAAAGGCACAGGGACGGGCACAAAGGGTGATGCCATCTTCCTGAGCTGTGTGCTCCTGCCCTTGCCACCGCAGTAGCCAACAAAGCTTCTTCGCACCGACACTGACCTTGTGGCGGAGTGGTACTGTGTGATGATGAAGTGAAGCAGTAACGTTCACGCCGAAGGGCTGAAGAAGACTCTGAGTAAAAAAGACAAGAATCATTTGGTATGTACATTGTACTTATGATCAAAACTAACTACAAGCGTCCTAAATACAGACTGCAAAAATGGGATCGTAAGAATCCCATTGAATTTACTGCAATGGAGCAAAATCTGTCAGCGAACATAATCCTGAAATAAGGGTACCAGACTGCAAGGGCAAATGAATTATTGACAAGAGTGAGCTACATGTCATTCATCATTTATGAATTTCTGCATTATGTGTAAAGTTCATAATGGGAAAAGCATGTTAAGATCTGTACAAAATTAGCGTGTCAGATCATCTTGTCAACTGATTAGCTTTTCCTGTTCTAACTGAAATCTGAGCTGCAAAAGAAATGAATGAGCCATGATGCTTTAATTTGAGACAAAGGAAGAGGAAACTGCATGTTGGTTTTCATGGAAGAGCGCGGTCTGAAATCAATTAATGTTCAGACTGAGAGACTGGCAGCTACCTGTCAAACATGTTCACATTAGTTCAGCATCTGCGGAGCTTAGAGAAGCCAGCAACGTGCTTCGGTGGGACTAGAGTTTATAACCCTTAACAGGCTAGTAATACACATTTTATAGGGCGCATAGAAATATGTAAGGCCAGATGACACATCAACAACAACACAGAAGTACGAACTGTGTAAAAGATAAACATAAGGAGCTAACAAATGACAGATCTTGTTTATTGCTCACTCATGACTCGTGCAGCTATTTTGCTTAATAAACATGACGAAACAGCTGGGACGAACCAACGTTACCCCCAACATGGCAACGAAACGCTCGCTGCCTAATATTGTGCTTCATACTTTTTAAGTCACATTTTGACATCAAGTTAAGTGGCTTGTGATGTAGCTAGCGCGCTAACCTAACTGCGATACGTTAGATGCCGTCATTTTACCAAACAGTATGAACTCCATTAACAAAATGTGCCAATGTGTTTAGTTAGCTAGCTAGAGTAACGTTGCTGTGCTTATTGATTCAGGGCTGGTAACTAGAATTGACATTAAAGTAAAACAGGTAGGCCTAATACAGCAAATACTGTTATAGGAAGCAACCACCAGGCAACGCAGTTTTTAATCATAAGTTGACTGCAATAGTTTCAGCTAACGTTAGCTTAACTAGCTAAGTCAGTTGACGTTACAGTTGCTTACCGTTACTATTCACAACAGTCCAAACAAACCAGGCTAACTAACATGTTATTGAAATAAGAGATTCTTATAATATAAGATTGATGCCGAATTGGGTTCCAGTTATACAGTTCGTCAACGGTATACTTTTATTGTCTTTCTGATAACTTATTTGGCCAATAATAAACAAGGCAAGGCTTAACCGATTAATTTCTACACGGCGTTTGGCGTGTCTTCCATTCCCTGAAAGACCCTGGCATAACGTCCAAGGCTATAACATTACCTTCGCCTTAGCTGGTAAGCTAGGACGGGCAGCCTATGTTGACAAAGCTAAGATTACGCATGATGACAAGGACTTAAGCTTACCGTAGAAGTCCCGTATCTTTCCCTTCAAAAATAAGTCTGATATACAGCCCGATGTCTGGTTGTCATGTTGCTGTTTATCCACTGCAGTATCTCCTCTCCTGTCCTCTTCATGTTAGCTCGCTTGAATTCAAACCACGACCGCTGCAGTGCTTTAAGATATCCACATGAGGGCGCTGTAACACATATAATATTGGACTGAACTGTAATACAATTCCGCAGCAAAAAATAGTTATAATTTGTCAGAGCATCCCATCTGGTCAGCACATGCAAACGCTACTAAAACTACTTTATTTACCCTGTAGATAAATTATGTGAATACAGGCCTATATAGTGCTAAATAACTGCTGTTATGTGAAGTAGCATGCCACTGATGATCCCTGGAGCAGCGCAATGAAACCAATGCACATACAAATATGTGTGTACGTCGGATTCCTTGCATGACAATGATTACACTTGCAAAGGTATTTGTTGCAAAGTTTTCCAGTCCTAACTTTGAGAAGCCCAGTTTGACACAGCAGTTTGCACAAGCTGCTTAACTTTTAAAAATTACAAATGCTCAAGAGCATCTCAAATTCACTTGACCTTTCCAGACAAATAGATGCTTTTGAACTCTATTCTGTTATGCCACAACATCAGCATCTGCACTGACAACAGATACAAATACTAGGCTCTGTTTAAACTATTGTTTTTAAGATGTGTTATATAAAACTGATCTTAAACTGGTTTTAATCAGTTGATTTATTTCTGGGACTCACAGTGCCTTCATGAATGAGAAAATCCCATTTGTATACATCAGTATCAGTTTATTCTATTCATTCTTATCTGGGGTGTCTAATAGCAGCTGTTAGCAGACAAATCACACCCACTGGCACAAGACATTTACCCAAAGCATAATATGGGCGGGCGTGGCATTCACTGATGGGTGTGATTTCTAGATACTTTCTCGAGCCACGGCAAAGCTCAAGCTTCCTTTAAGTGAATCGTTCTGGATATCTTGCTGACTTGAGGAAGTTTTCTGTGAGTAAGTATAGAACGTGCCAATTGTCACATGATTTTCATGATAAGAGTGACAGCAAGAAATAACCGGCTCCAGTCAGGCTTTGCGCAACTAACACTGCTTGATTTGTGCCCTTTTCAGCTAGTTTCCAAAGACAACAGTGATTGAGTAGTGATGAGCAATATCTCTGTGATTTTATTGAGTTTTACCAAGTACCGGGTGACATTTAACTTTGGTTTAAGAAGATTTAGACTTATGACCGAGTAGAAAAAAATGGGGACTTACACACTGGGGAAGGGATAGCATTGTTGGAGGACACTGCTAAGTTGTAAAATGTGGCTGTGGCTGAAGAAAAGAGATGGATTCCTATCAAATGAAACTTTTTTTAAAGCTTTTGTTATGATGTCAAATAATCAGGACAACACAATTGTCTAAACAGGAGAGTGCTACTTATCAGATGAAAGCATATAATACTACAGTTTGTAAAGAAAAATGCTCTTCTATCCTTTCTTTGTATTAGAGAAAATGACGACATCAACTCCTCTATCCAAGGCCAACACCACCTTCTCTCTGGCTTTGTTCAAAAAGCTGAGTGATGACGACAAGACTGCAAATGTCTTCTTCTCCCCTTTTAGCATCTCTTCTGCCCTGGCTATGGTGTTGCTGGGGGCCAGGGGCAACACAGCCAAACAGATGTCAGAGGTACAATACACACACACACACACACACACACGTACACGCACGCACACGCACACGCACACGCACACACATGCACGCACGCACACTTAAATTCACACTGTGAAAATTAACAGTACAGAAGTTACAGTTCTTTTCCTAACACACCCATTTGGATTAAGTGTTTATACAGGCACACGTTCAAATGTCATTGCAAGTCTGGATCTGGTTTCATCACCATATTATTGCATCCCAAGATTAATAAAAAGGCGTGGTTCAGTCATGTGCACTGGTAATCTTATGTATTCTTGACACAGAATGGCATTAGAGATGACAGGACGGTTTAGGTCAGATTTTTCACTAGCTTTGTCCAATATGTTCAAATGTTTGCAACTCTATATTGAAAACGTCTGATATCGTGGGACACATGGTAGAACCACAGTTGGCTGTAATTTGGGGCACTGGGAGAGACTGTCCTCATAGCTAACTTACACTATGTTGATCAAAGACGTTATGCAACACTTTAAACTGGAAAAACAGGTCAAATTTTTTTTTAATATATTTATATGTATGTGTATTGTAAATTCTGTCCTGTTTTTGTAATATTTTATAGAACTTATACACAGTGCTTACTGTTTTTCAACTAAAATACGAAAAAACAGACTTAAAAAAAGAATTCTCTCCCAAAAACCTTAACCTAGCTGACAGTGAGGTGTGGCAGGAGAAAATGCCTGCACAGGCATTATTTACTCATTCTGTCTCACAGCATCAGCAAAAATGTCAGGGGTGTGTTCTGTTCTGACACACACATAATAGTTCTATTTCTCTGTAAGTAGTAGACCACAAAAATGTTCTGCATGGTCTTAAGTGAATTTCACTGGTAGAAAGTATCTAAGTACATTGAGGTTTTTACTTGTATTTTACCTGAGTATTTTCATTTTCCACTTTATTCCATTTCAGAGGCAAATATTGTACTTTTTACTACATCTATTTGTAGCTGTAGTTGCCAGTTACTTTTCAGGATCAGACAAAAGAAATGCATTTTTATAGATTGAACAACTCAACGGGACGGGAGTAGTTAAGATTAGTTCCAAGTCGACAGTATTGCTTACATGTTAATGCATAATGTTTTGCATGATGAATACTTTTGAGACTTTAAGTTCATTGTGCTGTGAATGAATTTAACTTTGTTTTTACCACATTTTTATGTTTGACAGCTACTGTCCAGAATGGAATGACCCCTGGCTGAAACTGTACTGTTACAGAAATGTACTATGCAAATCACAAAACTAGTCTGAGATAAAGGAAACCAAAATTGAAAAAAGGGACAAGGGTAGGCGCATTCTGTACACACTATAGTGTACAGTGGTAAGACACTATTGCACTGTGCAGATAGTATAGGAAAACAGGAGTAGGAGTTGTACAAATGTTACACTGCAAACCTGACAACCAAATATGGAGGAATTGTGCCTTGTGTAAAAAGGCTTGTAGATTGAGTAACAATTGCTTTAAGCAAGAAACTGCAATGAGCCAAAGCAAGGCGAAGCTTCACAGTTTCAATGGGAGTAGGAGTAGATGAGTGTTTGACAGTTTCTGATGAACATTCATTGGAATTTTACTTGTATGTGATTCTGACATAGGTTATGCGTAAAAAGAGTAGAATCCTGAGTCATCAGTTGTGGTAAGGAAATCTTGTATGTACAGGCATGCCTTGGTGCGTAAATGTGTGATTGACATGACACAGTTGCTGTAGAGAGATTTCTGTTTGCTGGCCTGTTAACAGAGAGTGCAGTTGCAATGCTTCAGTTTTGGTTAACCTGTGCAAAAATCTGACCTGTCACACACACACACACACACACATACACACACACACACACACACACACACACACACACACACACACACACACACACACACACACACACACACACACACACACACGCTATTAATGTTAACAGAAATGATAAGAGAAACTGTTGGCACCCCCAGGTCCTATGCTTCACTGAGCCAGAGCAACCGAAGCAGGTGGAAGCACAGCAAACAGAGCCTCCGAAGCAGTCGCAGATGCAGTCGCAGATGCAGACGCGGATGCAGATAAGGACACAGATACAGCAGTCCAGCAGATTGCCACAGTATCTGCGCAAGGTGGTAACAAAGCCAAAATTAAAGGAATGATTAATGGTTTGGCTTGGGTGGTGTCATCTGGTGATGAAATCTGAGATTTGGGTTCCAGTGTATTTCACACTTAATTTCCCACAAGACAGAAACTGGAAAGTGTTATGTGACGCTTAAAACAGCAAAACAAGCAGATGTATGCAGCAGGTGGAAAATTCACTGTCTTGACACACCAACAAAAGTACAGCATACTAAATTTTCTTTGGTCCCCTGTGAAAATGTTGTGGATAATTGTGTCTGCATATTCTTTTTAAAAAGCTTCCACATGGGTTATTTTATATTTATGTTAATAGTTTGAAGGCTCTTGTTTGGTCAGTTTTTGCCTTTTTTCATACATTCTTTCCAAAAGGTGCTCAGAGTCTCATAAAGAAATTAAACTTCTAAAAACTTCAGGCTTGTTGGAGGTTTTGCCAAGGATCACTCTAATTACAGTAAATTATGAAAAAATGACACCAAATTCATCCATTTTATACCAGTACAGTAGCATTATCCAAAAGAACTTACCTCATGTAACCAAAGTTAAAGTTCAGATTTGTCTTCCTTGATAATGGTTGCCTCAACATTCAACACAGTGTATGCAAACTGTAGCATGGTACCCCTGGGTTAATGATGATTTGGTGTTTATTCTAATCATCTATCTGGTGGGAGGTCAAGGCCAATGATCCATGTTAACATAGTAAAAAGTTGTCTTTCATCTCTTGCTGGCTCAGCATGTCTTTATAACACGCTGGTCTTCTCTGGCTTTTCTAGTGCCTGAAACCCCAGAATGGCCAGGATAGTATTCATGCTAGCTTTGCCCAACTGCTGAGTGAGCTCAACAAGGCAGACGCTCCCTACGCCCTCAGCCTTGCCAACAGACTGTATGGGGAGCAGTCCTACCTGTTTGTTCAGGTGGGTGTATGTGAAGCTGTTGTGCTCAGCATTACCGAATTTATTGGTGAGAGAGGGAACTGCACCCCTGTAACTTAGTTATGTGGATCGAAGATTTACGACATATCTCAAACTTGTAAATGTGCAGGCTTATTACCTTGCCTTCTCAATGTTCTGCACATCCAGTTGTATCCTTACAGGCAACATGTACACTGTTGAGAAAACATTGAGATCTCTTGGTATACATTTAAAGTAAAATGTTCCAAAATAATGATAATGATATGACAGTAATTTTATTTATCTAGCACTTTTCAAGAAAGGAGCACAACGGGCTCTCCTACGCAGGGTAAAATGAAATGCAACAAAATAGGTTACTATAAGAACAGCAACATAAAAAGAGTTTTATTAACTATTAAGACAAGTAACTAGCTTTAAAAAAGC